CAGCCATTTGAAATCTTACGATTTTGAGCGTGTATCTTGAATCCCCATCCGGCTCATAATTACTTTCTCTACAAGACAGTTGTTGTTACCTACAAAAAACGGTTGAAATGACTCCGCAAATCACTCCAGAGACTTCATTCATTATCACATTATCAAGATTCTTACATCGGTTCAAGGTCCCACAAGTTAATACACTGTGCTTCCTCCACTGTGCTTCACATAGCGCCTTTGATAATAGAAAACTGTTGAATTTTGATTCGTCTGACCCGATTACACGTTTCCAGTCAAAACATTGTTCAACTTTTGGGCTGGTTGAAAAATTTTTGCCTTGACTTCGTAGTTTTTTTTCGAAAATATAGGTTCTTGTCTTTGTTACTGCTGCTATAATATGGACGTACACAGGCCCCGCTTTTAATTATACCCGGCACCAAGCCCCAAAAATACCTCTGTCGCACCCTCTTGCAAATTGAAAAGATGCTCTTGAATGCTTCACCGACCACGAAAAAATGAATACCACAAAGATGCAATAATGAAGACTCAGGATTTTATATCGATAATGAAAGATGTTTCAAAACGTATAGAACATGTTACGGACAAACAAGTGGCCAATGTTAAAGTGGCCATTGAGACAAACTTATTGTGTGAAAGGGAAGACATCACCTTGAGGGGAAGTAAAGCCTCCCGAATACTGTACAGAATACATCTCAAAATGCAACATACTTGAGTCCCAGAATACATAACAAGTTAATAGAATTAATTGGAGAATACATACAGAAGCCTATTGTTGAAGAAGTGAAAAGTCTTGTATTTTTATCGGTTTTAGCGGATGAAACTATATATGTATATTTTTGACAAGGTATCTAAAAAGACAAAGAATGTTTCCTTTGCTACGTAGAATTAGAATGATTAACAGGAAAAGAATCTTCGACCGTCATAATGAACACAGTAATCAGTTTGGGTTTGGATGCAACATTTTTGAGATGTCAAGGATATGACGGCGCGTCTACCATGTCAGGCAATTATAATGGAGTGCAACAAATATTCAATCAAAATTCATTTCTGCTGTTTACATTAATTATTCTTTTCACATTTTAAAATTAAGTTCAAATGCGACTGAAGTATATTCTTTACAATTTTCGAAATTTGCACATTCTTTAGAAAATCCAAAAGGTCTGCCACTTTATGAAGAATATTTCGAGAAGCAAATAAATCTTTCAAATGATTACATTCATATTGTAAAATACGATAGATTCAGCAGCATGATTGCGTACAAATATAGAAGAGATAGTGAAATCATTGGAAAAATAGGGGAAAATGATATGATTTAATTTGGATTTATTTTTAAGAAGTAGAAGTTTCACGTCAAATGTAATGAGTTCGAACTCCGAATATTGTATAGTATTACATTATTTGTACCATATTTGAACGAACTAATTGCAAATATAACAAGCAGATTTCTCGAAAATGTAAAAATAGTTAAAACATTATCAAGAATTATAAAATTTTAATATTAAAATTTTACAGAAATCATACAATTTTATGAAAAAAGTAACTGAAAATCAAATGCAAAGCCCACGTTATTCTGTTTATGCATAAATATGTAGTAAATACTGAAAACGTAACTAAAAAATCCAAAAATAGAAGACTTGATTTGAAATACACATTATTATTATTTTTTAACTAGCTTGCCCGGCAAAAGTTGTCTTGCCTTGTATAGCTTGTCTGTGAGTGTATAGCTATCGTATGAACTAGGATAAAGCCAATCGGTGAAGATCTTCCTTATTTTTTAACTTGGTTTTTGGTAAAAAATCGGCGATTTTCCAAAAATATTTTTTCAAAGGTCCGCCATTTTGTTAATTTTAGAGCGAAGTCAATAATCCTAGTTCATACGAGAGCCAGACATGTACTCTTTCTAACACCTTTGGAATTTTGGGATTCCGATGTTTCAGTGAGGAGTTATCATGCCCGCCATCAAAAATAAGGACTTTTCTTTGATCACAAAAAACAACAACAAAACAACAACAAAACAACAACAAAATTTTTTTGTAAATTATTTTTCTTCCTCTTTAAATCTTCAAATAAATATGTGCAAAGTTACAAACCTTAACAAGCATTGGTATTCATTTACCAGCCCATTTAAAATCTTAAAAATAAAAAATCGAGAATGGGGGGGTTTCCCTTAAATGAATGATACACCACCAATTTTCATACAAAACATCTCAAAATAACTACTACGACGCGGTGCAAAGAAAATAGCTCGATAGTAAATTCGTGGAAATGCAAATAGGCTGCATAATATTTTAAGACTAAAATCAGATAAATCCGTTCAGCCGTTCCCGCATTTTTCAAAACCAATATTTTGCAAATTTTTACTGCTAAACCTTCCGGTTAACGATGCGAATACAACGCAAAAGGAATTATTAAAATCCGATGAACCGTTCTCTAGTTTTTAGCAGACAACGCACATCATTTCATTTATATATATATAAGAGATATGCAAAACATTTAATATATAAGCAATACATAAAGAGTAATGAAGTTATATATATTTGTGTTAATACATTTTCAAGATTAGTAATGCCTTCCCATATATTTTCTATTAAACATATACAAATTAAACGTGCGTACAAAAGATGTATATTAAAATAAACATAATCATCTACCAATCCCATATTTAAGGAAGGCAAAATATGATTTTTTTTTTCATTTCACATCATCGGTACAATCAGAGAAACACATTGAGAGGTAAATATTTTTTAATACCAAATAATTATGTGGAAATGCAAATATATTTTTTATTGGTCATTATTTATTATCAGTTCTGAGTTTTATATGAAGAACAAATTGAAGGCTTACTGTTTACAAAAAAACTAAACAAATTACATAACACACCAAATAACTTCATATCGCTAACAGTCGTATTATACAATAAACAGTATATGCTCGCAATAATAACACCATATTCTGCATTATATGGCTATGGACTAAAAACAAGGACCAAAACGAAGCCAAACATCCAACGTTCACATGAAATCAGTGGTAAACTGGTGCCCAAATAGGTGGAGCTGCAACACTACATACATTCAAATCCTGTTGTCTAATGCCACCCAACAACACACTAATGTCAAACATTACACTGCCAACATTCTTTAATTAATTTACTAACATTGGATCGTCCCATTTTACACGGTAATGTCCGGCCCAGTCATGTCACCAATAATGTTACCATCGTTGTTGTCAAAGCTAATATTTTTATTACCCATGGGTATTGTATAAACATGTTTCCTGGACATTTTCCCTGTCGTTGCTGTTGATCCCTGTTTGTGTTTTCGATGTTCCCCCTCCTATTTACGTCACACTGGATGAGCAAACTAGGAATTGAATTATGCCTATGTTCCACTCAAATAACAACATTTGTGGGTGATGCTTACGGAAGCGTTTTTATGGCCGTATTAGATTGTGACCTAAGGTGAGAGTGGCTGTTATGAGGTGTTATCCTGTGATTTTATGACCAACTTCATTAATATAATTAATTGTGAACACCTTTTGATTTCCTGTTCAATATGAAATATGGCGGTGTAAATTCATAAATGGAAAATTATGTTGTTCGTGTTGTTGTTGCTGATGGCTAAGAGTGATTATACATATTATTGGATATATTTATTAGAATATGCTAGAATAAATTTTGGAATATTTAATAATAAATCCATAAATTCGGAACAAAACAATGTCGCTTAGGCATAAAACCTGAGGGCCATAAGTGGCGATGACATGAAGAATAAAAACTCACTTCGATTGATAATCGAAAAACATATTTCGTCAAATAAGATTCGCAGTTTTCTCATCGTGTATAATGCAGACCCATCGTACATCACGAATTCTCGAGAAAGAGTCGAAAGTTCAAAAACGTATATTTCTAAAACTTTCGAATTTCCACATATGTAGCTAATTAAGGTAATAAATATTAAGAATGGTGAGATTAAGATTATAAACACTGCACTGAAAGGGATTTCAAAAAATTAAAGGATATGTTGTGATGAGACACATTTTTTATTGTATAAAATGTATAAAGCTCATTAGAATCAAGGTTAAGGATACAATAACGTTGTCCTTACATCTGGGAGATGACAAGCATGTTTTATCACGGAACACTCAACCAAAAACTGTATGACCACAAATCCAGATTATATGAAGACCATGTACATACGTTTACTGCATATTCTATATTAGCGGTTTTTTATGTATTCCTAGCCTCCGGTTATTTGTGTTTATTAAAAGTTTTCTCCTTACGATGTATCCATGTGAAAAATTACCCGCACACACACATACAGTCACATAGATTGTATGTGTGACAGAGTTCAGGGAAATATTTCCACATACTCGTACATACAATATGAGGAAATAGTTGTTTAGTTATTTGCATTAATTTTTGCACAACTCCTAACTTTATTTATATTGGTTGGAATTTCTAATTAGCTCAGGTCTCATACTGCACCAAGAGTCAGGAGGCACGTGTTCGCGTACAAAAGGGCATGTTTGTAAAATAAGTAAACAAGAAATACCCTTAGGTAATAGCTGGGGAGACTGGTCGGAAGGTAGGATGCGAGTAGAAAATCGGATGTGTGAATGTGTAAAAACAAAACACAGACATAAACAAACATTTCAAATGTCTGAAAAATTTTCGCATGATATTAACAGCAGACAGATGTGGTAGGGAATAATAATATCATGGAATTTTGATGTAAATTAAATAAAAACTCCAAAACTCTAAAATTATTATATGTAGTTGAAAAAAAACTACGATGACTATTATTGAAAATAAAACTAATTACATAAATAACACTTAGTATGTGAAAACTCGTATACATACTATATATATATATATATATCGTATATATATATATACATTTTACCTTTAATCTTTACCTTTAATCTATAATTATCATCATTATTTCAACTCACTTTATTTATTCATTTTTTTTAATTTCTTACCATTTCAGACTATCCCCGTGTCGATGTTGGCCCGCAAAATCCCTTACGTGTGGAACGTGATCACGTTGCCAAGCTGGATTGTCGAGTTGATGCCAAACCAATGGTATCGAACGTACGATGGACCCGTAATGGCCAGTATGTTAGTACAACTCCAACACATACCATTTATCGGGTTAGTCGTCATCATGCCGGAAAATATACCTGTACCGCTGACAATGGCCTAGGAAAAACCGGCGAAAAGGATCTGATTCTAGATGTTCTATATCCACCGATTGTGGTTATCGAAACGAAAACACATGAAGCTGAAGAAGGCGAAACGGTTGTTGTTCGCTGCAATGTCACAGCAAATCCACCACCCGTCACAATAGAATGGCTAAAAGAAGGTGCACCAGATTTCCGTTTTGCTGGAGAACTACTTTCATTGGTGTCGGTCAGAGCAGAACATGCGGGAAATTACATCTGTAGGGCGGTGAATCAAATGCAACCCTACGGCTCGAAAAGAGTTGAGGGAGTTGGAAATTCTACAGTGGCATTATTGGTGCGTCATCGTCCTGGTCAGGCATATATTACACCCAATAAACCAGTGGTTCATGTGGGTAATGGTGTCACTTTGAGTTGTTCGGCCAATCCACCGGGATGGCCTGTGCCACAATATCGTTGGTTCCGTGATATTGATGGAGAGTTTAGTAACACCCAGAAGATTCTGGCTCAAGGGCCGCAATACTCAATACCAAAGGCCCACTTGGGCAGTGAAGGTAAATACCACTGTCATGCCGTCAATGAACTTGGTAATGGCAAAATGGCAACCATCACATTAGAGGTGCATCAGCCGCCACAATTTATCGCCAAGTTGCAACAACATATGACACGTCGTGTTGGCGATGTTGATTATGCCGTGACGTGCAGTGCAAAAGCTAAGCCAGTGCCGATTATTCGCTGGATTAAAGATGGCACAGAAGTCCTGCCTGGCCGTAAAATGTACGACATCAAGACCACTCCCACAGAAACGGCGAACGGTGTTGTCACCATCCAAAGTATATTGAGATTTAGAGGAAAAGGACGTCCCAATGGTAATCAATTGGTTCCCTCAGATCGTGGCCTCTACACCTGCCTGTATGAAAATGAAGTGAATTCGGCCAACTCGAGCATGCATTTACGCATCGAACACGAGCCCATTGTCTTGCATCAATACAATAAAGTCGCCTATGACGTGCGGGAATCCGCAGAGGTTCAGTGTAAAGTTCAAGCATATCCCAAACCAGAATTTCAATGGCAATTCGGAAATAATCCATCGCCATTAACAATGTCATCGGATGGCCATTATGAAATTAGTACCAGAGTCGACAACAATGACATCTACACATCAATACTAAGAATAAATCACCTCTCTCATTCGGACTATGGAGATTATTCATGTCGTGCAGTGAATCCTTTGGATACCATACGTACGCAAATACGACTGCAGCCCAAAGGGCCACCAGAGAGGCCGACATCGTTGAAGGTCTTGGAAACCTCACATAACTTTGTCATACTCAGTTGGATACCGGGATTCAATGGAGGCATGTCGAATACCAAATATTTGGTGACCTATAGACGGGTACCCACTCCCAAAGAGCAGCTACTATCCGACTGCAACTCCGTTTACAGTTATGCCTCCACCAGCGGCATGAGTTCACCCGAATGGATGGAATTCGATTGTTTCCGGGAAAATCCCTGCAAAGTGGCTCCGCTCGATCAACATCAAAGTTACATGTTTAAGATTTACGCCTTAAATGCCAAAGGCAGTTCCGGCTACTCCAACGAAATGCAGGCCACCACGAAAGTGAGCAAAATACCGCCGCCCCTCCATGTCACCTATGACCCCAATTCACATGTGGTGGGCATTAATGTTGCTGCCACATGTTTGTCTCTAATTGCAATTGTCGAATCGTTGGTGAACCGTGAATCGCCCATGGCCACGTGGGAAATAGTGGACACAGTTTCGTTGCTGCCTTCGGGCAACGAGGCCACCTTCAAAGAGACCACGATTAATCATATAACTCAAAGAGCCCATTACTCGGTATCGGGCCATCGAACAACGATGGGACGTGCTGAGGACATGACATTGGCTCTGGCCGAGAATAAACAGCCGAGTCCAGCGGTGCGTGTTAAATTATGTTTGCTTTCTAACCACAACCACTGCGGCGAATATGCGAACGCTGAAAGTAAGTATGATGATAAACACACATACATACACACACAGAGCAATGTAATGTTCTTTAGAAGACAATTAGGAAAGTTGTTAGTCGAAAACAACGATGATGATGCCATTGATTGAGCAGAGATTTGGTCATTAATGAACTTTATTAATGGACATTGTACAGTGGTGGGCAAAAGTGTAGATGGGACTAGTAAGAAGTAAAAATGGCGTTACGTAAGTTCGGCCTACTAAACTTTATATACCCTTCACCACGTGGTGTACATTCAACATTACTTAAATCGGTCGGAACTTTTATATTTGTGATCTTTGTGATTGTATTATGTGGCAGTAGTTTGTTCATGCTTTCAGAAATAATGCTCCAAATTACAGACACTCGGGTTGGAAAACTGGGCTAAGAACTTCAACTTCAATATGTCGAATTTTAGAAACTTCAATGAAAATATCCGATTAATGACTTTATAATACGGAAAATGGGGCGGGATCTTAATTTGGCGGAATATCAAAACTTGGACATATATATATATATATATATATATATATACAATCGTCGAGTTGATGCATTAGACTTATAAAGACAATTGTCTAGTTTATGGTTTCCACATGCCAATATATCGTAAAGTCAAATTACAGCCATTAAAATCGGAAAATGCAGCTAAAATCTCTAATATACTGATAAGGGGACGTTTATTATTTTTATTATTTTCCGTATACCAAAACGTTAACCAATATTAATCAATTTAGGTAGGAAGTTTTAACACCCCATCAAATCCTGAAAACTCAGTATTGATTATTTTTAGTATGGAGATTTTATACTCAAAAATAACACAAAATATGAAATTACAGCTTCCCTCAAACATGGGCCAACAATGAAGGCAGACTTTCTACATATTTTCTACATAAAACTTGTCGAAAAGTTTCAATATACAGAATATTGGGAAGTACCGTTATATGGGGGCTATTCTGAAAAATCCAATCCATTATTTATAACTTTTAGTAGGTACATTTTCTATCCAATATACCAAACTAAAACTGATTAGGTTATATTAGTGCTACCCTACAAAGAGGACCGATAATTGGCCAATGCCAAGTTATTCGCAATGATACAGTCTCTATTTTAAGGTCCCGACAATGGATGTTGGACCCAAAGACTTTGCCTATTCTCTCATTGACATTTCATTATAAATATTCATCTATCTGTCTCCAAAACTTTTGTACACCACTGTAATTTTTCCACTCTATTAAAAGTCTTCGCATGACAAACGGGACAATAGTGAAGAGTTATTAAGTTGACACAGCTAGTGAAATTTGACGTTGAACTATGTCATCCGTTTTTGATTTTGCCACTTATTCTACAGAGCATTGGAGGATTGTGGTACAAAAGAAATTGGTTTAATTAGACTTCACAAACTAACGATCGGAACAAATGCCTTCCATTCCTACTACTCTCCCTCCCCTCCATTACAACTTGTCCAACAGTGGCAAATCGGGTTTTGTTTGCGTAGCTTCTCCGTTTGCAATGCGCCAAACAAATACCATGTCCTATATTTTCTACGAACTTTTGTGCCGGTCAGTTAGGGTACGATGTCATGTCATCATTCCGTTTTCAGTTTGCTCGGCTAGTGGAGCGTTACATTTCGATTGTGATTCGTGTTTTTTTTCTGTTCTGTTTTAGTTTTTTGTTGTTTTCAAATTTGTTCCCATGTATGTAAGTGTACTGTCTATTGTTTTTCCCCATTTTGCAGTTGGAAAGTCATATCTGCCCGAGACGTCAGCATTCACAACATCTGCTATTGTGGCCATAGTTATAGCGTCCGTAGCCTTTCTACTTTTTGCTGCATTCACGATAATGGTGTGTCGCTGCAGGCGTTCGGCAGCTACAGCTACAAAGAAGCCAGCAAATACAGCTGCCAAAGAATATGACCTAGATTCGGGACGGCCATCGATTGTGGCTCAAACCAGTGGCCAACAGCAGCAGCCGCCGCCACCACCTTACTATCCCACAGGCAGCTTAGATAGTAAAACACTTGATGCACATGCCATGGAATTGACACTAACTGCCGTCCATGATCCCGAAGACCAAATGCACCATCAGCAGCAGCAGCAACAACGAGAACAGCAACAACATCATCAACAACAGCAATGCTCCACAACTGGACAGAAGTCGTCGACGAATTCATCGCTGTATGGGACCCAGAACGGTTATGGTTATCACATGACAAGTGCCATCGGTGTTGAGGGGGACAGCTACCAAGTGATACCATCGTCCGGCCTACACACATTATCAGGCGGTCCAGAGTGTAAGTACCAAATACAATAGCAAATACTCCAACTTCGTAACAAATACACACATATACAACACCCAGACCTATCCATACACACACACACACACAAAATCATGCTGAGGCAAACCCAATAGGTAGGCATTACTATTGTTGTTAAAGTTTGCAACTTCTTGTTTTCCTCATCCCCTGCGATGCTGTTGGCAAATTGTACCACTTTCAGTTTTCTAGCCCCACGGTGAATAAAACAATACACAGAGGAGAAGCAAACCTGTGATCGTGAGTGCATTGGTTGGTAACTTCTGAAAAGTTCCGAACAAAAATATTCCGGTAGCCGGTTGACCCCAGAATACCCCGATTCAAGTTACATTTGTTCGATTTAATTGCGTTGAAAATTGGAGGTGGCATCTTTGAGTGCGAGTGCGAGCCTTTTACATTGACTAATTTGCAAGGAAATGTGTGAAAAATTGTAATTTAACAACTACAGCAGAATACTAATATCCAATATCGAATTTTAAAACATACAAGAATTTCACAAAAAATGAAAAATGTTGGTTGGTTGATTAATTGACAACGCATACAGAGTATTTAAATTGATTTAAATATATACGTTACAAATATTTTGAAAACTACAAAAACATATTTCGAATTAAACATGCAGTACTGCAGCTAGTTGCAATTTGTATTAAAAATATCGAAAATCTAGTTATGGAAAGTACTTCGAACACTGCAACGCACAACATGTCGGCTACCATTTTATATGTCCTATTCTTACGCCGAAAGCTTATCAAATATAATCTGGCCCCAATTTTCCAAATGCAACAGAATATGTTGGAATGTGTGAATTAAATTGTTGATCTAATGAATTAAAGAAAATTATAAAAAGTTACAGAACATTTAATGGAAAAAACTTTCTAAATTTTTAATGTGCCAAAAATTGAGAAATTGAGAAAACATTATAAGGGATCTATAACTAAATCGTAAGAGGAAAATAATTGCTATTTTGCTTTTTTTAATTTTAAATAGTTTCAAAACCTCATAACTTATGGGAACCTCCGTAAAAACGGCTGACCTATGAAAGTGTATTATATTGAATACTTGTATCTTTGCATAAATGTAAATGATAAGCAAATTAACAGATATAATATTATTCTCACTGTTTGTAGTTATTTTTGTATAAAAGAAAAGTTTTTCTTTTTGATGGCGGGCATTTTCCGACCACTGCACTCAGGTCAAATGACCAGTTTTTCTGTGCAAAATTAAAAAAGGTGAATATTTTCCAAGACAACCAGTAAGGAAAGATCAAAAGTCGGACGGGGCCGAGAAGTCCTTATTTTTGATGGCGGGCATGATAACTCCTCATTCGAACATCGGAATCCGAAAATTCCAACGGTGTTAGAAAAAGTAGATCTTCATCGAAGATCTTCACCGATTGGCTTTATCCTAGTTCATACGATAGATATACACTCACAGAGAAACGTGTAAAAATTTGGAATCGATTGGGTTATTAGATTTATCGTGCCCGCCATTCGCAAAAGAGAAAAACGCGTTTAAAGTTTGAGAAGCCCTTTAGCCGTCACTTGATGCTGACACAATAAATCGGCTATATCTTCAAGAGTTCTTAAGATTTACACTTGAAATTTTGTAGGAACATTCTTGAATTAGTGTAGATTCGAATTAAATCAACAAAAATTTGACCCCGAGAATGGGGGTCCCCTTAAATCGGACCATTATTGGGAGTTATGGTGCACCATTTACATAAAATCGGACGAAACTATATATGTGCTATATATATAAATCTGGACCGATTTCAACAAAACTTCACAGATGCTGCGCAGACGCTGTGCAACATTTTGTCCCAATCGGGCAAACATTTTCAGTTTGGTGCACCATTTACCTAAAATCGGACGGAACTATATATGGAGCTATATCTAAAACAGAACCGATTCCAACAAAACTTCGCTTACATCAACCAGGACATAATTCAGTACTCTGTGTAAAATTTTGTCTTAATCGGACCAATATTGGCATTATGGTGCTCTATTTTCATAAAATCGGACGAAACTATATATGGGAGCTATATCTAAAACTGAACCGATTTCAACAAAACTTGGCACAAATCAATCTTGTCCTAATTCAGTTCTCTGTGCAAAATGTTGTCTCAATCGAACCAATATTGGCAGTATGGTGCTCTACATAAAATCGGACGAAACTATATATGGGAGCTATGGTGGACCTTTGAAAGATCTTGATCGATTACATTTATTTATTACTCGGTTTATATGAGGTATGTGTTTTTATAAAAGAGTTGACTACATTAAGACTCTTCATGGGTCTTAATGTCGAATTGGAAAAACATTACGATTTGAAAAATTTGGACCAAAGCCGACATTCCATTATCTTGATATTGGATAAACAAGTCTTCATCTTTGACATTTGTGTGGAATGTAAAACAAGGAGTGGACCGACTGGCCCTATTTTCACTACTTTGTGTGGGAGGTGCCAGAAAGAGTGGACCGATGGGTTCCATTTTCCAACTTGAATTAATTTTGAAAGAAATGTTATTTGGCATCAAATCGGACATTACATACCATTTTTATTGGATTAGCAATTTTTTTTTAAATTTTACCCATCTTGGGGGAGGAACCAGAAAGAAGACACATGAGTCAGGAATGGCGTTTTTCGGCTACGATGTTTTCTCCGTCTAATTATATTCGGCCCAGAAGATCGTGTGCTAAATTCCGTATTAACCGATTCTCATATAATCAGAAATCATAAATATTATCTGCATGTTTAAACGATGGTATTTTATATATTCAGTAATCAGCCCAAACTTTCGTTACATCTTCGTTAAAATGTTTCTTTGAAATACGCTTCCCTTTCTTAAATGTCTGTGGGAAAATTAATATATTCTTAAAAATTAAATTTCCACAGAAAATTATTACAAAACATAAGACAAAAAAACTGAAAATGCCCAAAGACGGTTTAAACTAACAACAAGAACAACAACAAAAAGAAAACTCTATTCATTGGCAATGGAGTGCAATCCCATTCTGTCTTAACAAATATTTACATGAATATTTACACAAATTTAAATTGCCATAAAGAAATTGGCGACATCAGACGATGAACGAAGGAACAAATGCCACGATAATACAATACAGAATATAGCTGGCCAAGAGCTCGTTACTGAAAGCAGGAAAAGAGCAAACAGTGTGTAATGAAAGTCAATGCAATGAAGTCATTTGGAAGCACTAAAACCGAATGTTAATGAATAATGAATATGGCCAAAGGCACCAACACAATCCCGAGCGCAGCAGCGCCAACATCAGCAAGGGCAGCAGCAGCAGCAGTAAACCGAAATTGCTGGTTAAACACAATTGGACGTATTCCACCAATTACAAGTGGCCGTACACAGGCACGCACACACACACACACACCCAAGGACAACAATAACCATGTTTAACGAAATGTGTTTTTGGTACAGCAACAATAACACCAACTATTGTGTCCCGACAATATGTAAAGTGGTTCCAAAAATATGGTCATTGGGCCTGGTTAGATGAATGAATGAATAAATGGATGGAGGCACAAATTACAAGGATTCCTCCATGTAAAAAAAATTACACAATTACAAACACCAGCAGCAACAACAACTATAATATGAAGAAACTATTTATTTAGTGTTGTCCTCTTGTTGGCATAAATGAGCTTGGCGAATATAGGAAAACCACAACAACAACAACTTCTTGGAATAGGCTAAACGGCATTGAGCCAAGAGTTTAGTCAACTGAATAAAAACAAAAAACAAAAAACTTGGAGTACTTAATGAAGGCGATGCTGGCAATCGTTGCTATAGCATTTTGAAATGGCGAAGAAGTTGCTTCTTCTTCTTACCAAACTATACAAAATTTAAAATGCGAAATTTTGACTGCCTTTTATAAGTCAGTATCAAAAGTACACGAAGCTCCTGCGATATTTGAATACATGTAATTTGCTTTTCAATTCATAACTATTCAAAGCTAATTGGAAGGATGAAAAGGATACAATTTTAATTTCCCTTCCATTCAGTGTCGAAAGTTGTTATTGTAAAACTTCCGTTTAGATTACATTCAATTTGCAATTAAGATGTTGTATTTTCACACACCAACACAAACACACACACACACACTGAATTTTTAAAATACCGAACTTCTTAATGAAGTCTTCAGGAGAAGGATTCAGTTAGCACTCTATTGCTGGCTCTTAACTTTATTTCTATAATTGGATTAATGTTTACAACCAAATAAGTATTGAAATTAATTTTCACGAAGAGTTGAAATTAATTTTAAAGCAAGAAACATTTTTAGAATGTTGTTGGTAAGAATGTTCGGTTAATTTACCTTTTTCTTGGGTAATAACTACAAAGAAAAACGTTTCAATATATTTTATATCTTAGATAGACCTCAGAAATTGATCGGAATGAGTACAAAAGTGCCAAAATTTATTCAACTTGAGTCAGATAGTCCATTCTAGTATGGCGGTTTCCTGACTGGTTTGTTGTACTACAAAAGAACGAAATTATACCCTCAACATTAAGGTATTCATAATACATAAAATCGATAGAGAGTTGTATATGTTTTCTATACTAATTCACTGCCAGAAGAAAACGACATATAAACCCTCAGGTTGAAAATTGTACATAAAGAAATCCACAATATAACAAAATTTGGTAGATTTGCACCCAATGAGAACCAATAGAGCAAAGTAAAACCAGTAAGAAAAGTTCAAAAGTCGGACGGAGCCGACTATATGATACCCTTCACCACTTTGGGTACATACAAGAGATGCGCATATGTACAATATCCTTTAAATAGAATAGACATAGCATCTTTACATAGATAAATGAACTAAATTAAAACAACCCATACACATACCAATCTCATATTTATTAAAAATTGAATGTCAATCATCGAGCAAAATATATATAAGATCTATATATAAATTGACGTAATTGAGTAACCGTGGCATCCACCATTTGCTATGCTGCAACACGGTGCGCTATCCAAAATTTATATCAACACAAAATCCCATATATGTACATTATTATATCCTACACAACTATGTTGTCAGGGTATTAAAGCTTTGTGCAGCCCCAAGAGTTTGTAACACCGCGAAATATTGGTCCTAGACCCACCTTTAATTATACCGATCGTCATATCTCTCATATACCTCTAGCTGAGTCGATCTAGACATGTGTGTCGTCCGTCCGTCTGTTATAATTTGTAAACACGACACACCACACCACAGTTATGGACCAATCGGTGCGCTATCCAAAATTTATATCAACACAAAATCCCATATATGTACATTATTATATCCTACACAACTATGTTGTCCAGCCCCAAGAGTTTGTAACACCGCGAAATATTGGTCCTAGACCCACCTTTAATTATACCGATCGTCATATCTCTCATATACCTCTAGCTGAGTCGATCTAGACATGTGTGTCGTCCGTCCGTCCGTCTGTTATAATTTGTAAACACGATACAGGCCACAGTTATGGACCAATCTTCACGAAATTTTGCATGTAGGATGGGTTCTGCCCAATGAAGTCCCCTATTGTTTTTGGTAAAGATCGGTGAATATTTAGTGGATGAAATGGACCAAATACTTAATTTTTGTCGGTTTTTCTGGTCGCTCCAGAGGCCGCAATTATGGCCCAAACATTGCGAATTTTTGCATGGAGAAGGGGATCGGGCCAAAGAATAAGCTGCCTGTTTTATATAAAGATCGGTCAATATTTAGCGGGTCAAATGAACCAGGACTTTTGTGTTAAAAATTACAAAATTTGTATTTTTTACCGTATATATTTACTCCTGAACGAAGTTGATAGTATATCCAAGAGGAGTGGTTTACCTTTAAATTGATACCAATTATATGGTCGTATGTACTCGGATATGAGAGTTACACGTAAATATTTTCAGGAGCTTACGTATTCATATATTATTTAGTAACATATTGCCACAATAGAGGGGGGAAATATAGCGCTCATCGCTTTGAAATTTTCCTTGAGGATCCAGGTATGGTCAAGGACAACGCCTATAATTTCTGTGATGATCAGTTTAAAAATTTGGGATGAAGTGGACCCAAAACTAAATTTTTTGTATTTTTTCGAGTCGATCTATAGGCTACAAAATCGAAAATCACAACACACGGTGAAGTGAATCTGGAATAGTAATTAGAAGGGCTGCACAGAATATTGGGATATTCGGAAAATATGTCAATGTAAGGAAGCACCTCTTCCTTACATTGACATATTTTACATATTTCATATTGATCTCTAATCGGCCAAGGGGTAAAATATCACGAAATATTGATCAGGCTCGAAATAAACAAAAGCAAAAGTTAAAGTTATGTGGTAGTTGTGTAGGGTATCATATGGTCGGCCCCGTCCGACTATACTCCTCCGCTCACTGGTTCTAGGTTCTATTTGGTACGGTGTGCACTAATTCGTCCTAAGCGTACAAACTTTATTAATTTGGTATCTCATTTTGATGAAATCGCATAAAAATATATATGGAAGCTATATTTAAACCTTAAACGTCTTCAATCCAATACGCTATGCAATATTTCATGTAAAGCGAACACACATAGGCTCCTCTATTTGCATAAGACCGGACAAAAATATATAAGGGAGATATATATACCAATAATACTATCAGAACCGATTTCAACAACAAAATATCGTGCAAATAGAACAGGATATATGGAGCACCAACCAGCATCCAAATCGAATCCTAAATGCGACCTGTACATTGTTCACAAAAATACATGACGGACGTACACACGACTCAGAAAGTGATTCTATGCATATTCTCAAAAGGAACCGTGGGTCTATCTCGATTCTTTTTATTCCTGTTACAAACATATGCACAAAGACATAATACCATGTACCACCGTTTGGTGAAGGGTATAAATATTTAAATTTTGGGGGTGAAATTATACTGATGCTACACTAAAAATTGTCGAAATATCGACAATTTTTCGTAGATTTTAAAAATGTACTATTCAATGAATAAACAATGACTCTAGACATAATTTTTTACCCTCCACCGCAAGTTGGTGTGTATCTTAAATTTGTCATTACGTTTGCAACACCTCGAAATATTCACCAAAGACCTCATAAATTATAAAATTATATGTCTATTGAGCCATGTCCGTTTGTCCGATTTCACTATAGAGATCGCAATATCTTCAATATTGATTGAAAATTTTTCACATATTGTTATAGTATCCGCGTTTTGTTGTAGCCCCTATAAAACTATACCTCCACGTTTTCACATGAAATTTTAAAGATACTTTCATGAGAAATTATAGGTCCAACATAAATAAAAATGTAAAAATCGATTTTTAGATACCGAGGGGTTCCCTTAAGTATACTTAAATAATATACAACTAAAACCATTAAATGTATCCACATATTTCTTAAAACTATTTTAAATATACTACAGATTTATCAATACACCTTTTCGCAATTGATTGATATCCACATATTTCTTAAAACTATTTAAATTATACTACAGATTTATCAATACACCTTTTCGCAATTTATAAATCCACTATAAGCCAAATAAAAAGTATTGTCGTTATTCTAATTTCCATAAAACTCTTCTTGAGGATTTTGAAAAATAAAACCACTTACTTCATATCTGCGGTCGTTTTATTATCATCGCTGATCAAAGGAATATTGTAGCGTCCTTTTTTCTTAGTTTTTGTTTTAACCTTTTGGCTTTCCGTTTTCTTTTTCCATTGCAATTTGCGCATCTCCGGCAATTTGAACATCAAATGCAGGACTATTCGATTTGAATACAAAAACATCGACGTTGTCGACGGCAATGACAACACTCAATAAACAACAATCGGCCAAGAACCAACAACAACAACAACAGCAGCAACAACAACATCAACCCACCAATAATACTATCAGCAACAGCAACAGGAACAACAACAATATTACAAACTCATCTTCGACAAACAGTGGTCACGTTCCATGTGCCAGTAATAATGGCATCATCATCAACAGCAGCAGCAACAACGGCGGCAGCGGCATCGCTTGCAACAATGGCAATGCCAAAGGTTTACTTGCAACAAACTGTAATAATAAAGCCAACAGCAACAGCGTCAATAATAACAATTACAATAACAACAGCAGCTACAAAATCAACTCTTCGCTGAGAAATTCCGAGTCTATATCTCCATTAGTGTCGAGCCTGGAACGTGCATCCAAGTTGGCGGCACTTAATACCAATGCCGCCACACTTTCAGGTAAATTTGTTGATGCACTCACGCACTTGCCCCTTGTGAGCCAAGGCAACCAAAGCATTTTGCTTATTGTCATCATCATGCACACCCCACCCCATCTCAATTCACCGCCAATGACTGCACTCGCATTGCAAGCAACAAGGCACCACCACAACAACACATCGCACCACACTGTATTGTAGCGCACCACAGCACAGGCTTCCGGCAATTCTTTTTCTTGTCCTATCTTCTGAGTAAATTTGCCACGCACCAACACAAACGCACAAACCAATGTAATAAAAAGTTTTCTAGCACGTTTCTTGCACCTGCACCAATCTTGTAACAGCACCGACAGACACAACAACACACCGAGCACATCGGCACCCACCAGTTCACATCTGCACCTACACCACAGGGTCTTTCCTGGTTATTATGGTTTCATTTCCACTTAAAGCACTCACATTTATTAAAACAAAAGAACTGCCAGTAGTTTCGCAATGAACAACACGAACAAGAAGAAGAAGAAGGATTGATAGAAGGCGAAGAAGCACGTACATTGTTTTTGTAGTTGTATATAACGCACACAAGAAACCACATCCCAAACGCACACACAAACAAACAATCATAGAATCGTGTCTCGATAACACTAGTCGACACAAAATATTTTTAAGTGTAATCTATCTATATATATATATAAAATAGAAAAAAAATTGTTTGTTTGTATGTTACCGATAGATGCCAAAACCGCTGAACAGATCTTAATGAGATTTACACTGTATGTCGGGGCATGCCCTGAAAGTAACTTAACTTATAAACTTTTAAACTTATAAACTTTTAAAATTCCGCGTGGATGCGGAGTTATAGCATCAATAGTAAACATATCTCAAAATTTCTGAACATGTAATATGCGTTTATCTTAAGAACGGTTACAGATACCGCTTTCAAAATTTGACTGAATAACGAAGGTGCGAATACACAGCATCCATACAAAAATGAGCATGGTACGATCAACGGAAAATGCACTTTTTACTGCATTTTAAAAATCTGCATATTGAAAATTGAAAATATTTTGTTTGTAGACTCTGAAAATGCTGAATAGATTTTACTGAAATTTTCACAGAACGTCATAAATTGCCCTGGGAATAACATATGCTATATAAACTTCTAAAATTTCCCGAAGATGCGGTGTTATAGCATCGTTCTTAATCATACTTCAAAAATTATGAACATGTAATTTGTGTATATCTTAAGTACGGTTATAGATACCGACTTCAAATTATTGCTGAGTAACGTGAGTGCAAATACGCATCATTAACAAAACATAACCGCGGACAAGGGAAAATGCACACCTAATTGCATTTAAATCTATACGTAGAAAATAGAAAACTTATTGTTTTTGGTCTGAAAAATACTAAGCAGATTTTACTAATATGTTCATGGTAAGTCAAGCGATCCCATCGAAGTAACATAGGTTAGATAAAACTGAGGAGTAATAGTATCAAAAGTATTCATACATCTTAAAGAATGTACATACATACATATGTATGTCGAATATTTTCTATGGGTATATCTTAGGGTAGCGGCTTGAAAATATGGTTGAGTAACATGGATACAAATACTCATCATCCGATGAGGATATATTTTCGAACGATAAGGATATGTATGTATGTATAGTGAAATAAAAATTGTGTAAAATTGAAAAAAAAGTTGACATTATAATTTTCCATTTTTGTCAGTTTGTGAAAACAAATTTATTTTGAACAAAATCAAACAAAATAGTTCCGTTCCAGAACCTAAAAGAATCTTCTAATTTTACAAGTTTTGCAACTTTTTACTAGAAAACCGTCCCTGAACCCACAAAACTGGTAAAACATTGAATAAAATTTAAGAGAGCACAAAACAAAATGGCGTTCTCTTTGTAAACTTTTTACTCGAGAAATTTGGCCGAGTAAAAATAGTAAAAATGAATGTCTACTTCTGATTGGCTCTTATGTTGATTTTGAAGTATTGCCATCCCGAACTTTTCAAATTATTTTGTACTCTGAGAGCAATTTTAAAATATTTCCCTTTTACTACCTTTACTATTAAAAAAGTAGTGAGTATTTTAATTATAAATCGTTTTATTATCTGGAAAAAGTCAGAGACTGGGATAGGATAAATTCAGATACACCACTAATTTTGTTTAAAAAAAATACCATTTTGTGGAGGAGGTAGCAGATAGAGGTGATCGATTGTGTAAAATTGATAAAAAGTATTCACATTATAATTTTTGAATTGCTGTTACTTTTCGAAAAAATTGTGTTTCAAGAAAACAAAAATTACCACCATTACAGAAAACAGCATGGACATTTCACACTTTTTTGTAGTGTTAATGCGAGCATATAAAAATACCAGGGTTTATCAAATTTTAAATTAAATTTAATAAATATTGCAGCTGTATATAGGACGCTTACTAATTGATAATATCTAAGTTTTAATTTGATAACTTCAGTAGGGGCAGCGAAGCGCCACGGGTCCCGCTAGTAATATTATAAAGTAAAATGATAAGGTGAAGAAAATGACAAATTAAATTTTAATTGAATTATTGATGTTATATGTATCAATATATAGCCGTTCTAGTTACAAGAGTACCGTTAAGTAATAATACGTTGAATCAGTTTAAATTTATATCTTAAAGTAAGCAAGCAAGCAAGCATTAATTAAGGAAATCAGCAAGGGACGTGTCTGTGTACACCAAGGATATAGAGTTCAGCTCTCCCTACAGTGGAATGTGTATTCAAATTCTGATGCGATTTGCAACACCAAAGGCTCCATAAATTACATATAAAATTCTATGTCGATTTAGGCATGTCCGTCTGTCAGTTGATATCACACACATTTTTCAACCGAAGAGACTGTCATTTCGCATTTTGGGTTGTTAGCGGTTAATAAACTTCTTTGCAGAAAAATTTCGATATGGATCCACCTTTAGGCTCCATGTAACGCTTTCGCCCATTTTTGATATATTCGCCATTTTTCCAACAACCAATTGTAAGCATTTTAATGATTCTTACGTGTTATCCGATCTAAGGATTGCATTCCGTGTTCTTGGTGGTAAAATTTTTTTCGGTGAAAAATATTGTGCTAAATGTTCGACATGTAGACAATCCAGCGAATCTGTATTCCACTTGGTCCCTTCCAAGTAAAGTCATAATATTATCATCTACAAATATCACAATACACAGTGAGGAACTTTATAAATCTGCCTGGATTACTTCGGATTTTCAGAGGAAAATATAAGTTGATCACGAAATGTCTAAATCAATTTCATTTTGATAAACACCCTTTCCACATAATTTAATACATATGAATGACCGACCATGCAGGAGTCATATAATATAAATTGTATGACTGACTCTACTCTAAACATAATGCAGTCCTAACAGACTCAGCAATTTTGAAAGACCATTGACACGAAACTTATATGTGAACCAATTTAATTCAATACATGTACATGTCATCCTTCAATTAAAGCAAAATTTAATTTCAATCGGACAGACATAGAGTCTTTGGTGGACAAAATATGTAAATCTCTCCGGATTAAAATATAGCGCGCGCTATTCGGTATGCTGCAGCTCAGCGCACTGTGATAAATTTGATCTCAATCGGACACACTTTGACTATTTGGTGCACAATTTTCATGAAGTCAAGCAAAAATATATATGAGAGCTATAGGGGAGACTGGGGCAACATCGGCAGTTTTTGTTTAGAGGTCTATATCTCAGTACTTATTCAATAGATATACACATTGTGTGCTAGGTTAAGTATCCCCTGATACTTAATTATATAAAATCACATACATGTGTGTTTTATCAATAAAGTCAAAATGGTAGCTTCAGCATTTGATGGGTAACATTCGTTACCCATAGCCATCGCCTGGTAATTATTATTGCTATCAGCCTAGTTAGAGTTCAGATTCTCTAAAGGTTCTTTATTGTTTTCATATGCGTCACAATGTTTTAATTTTTTCTAGCGGCTGACATTGACGTCTCTACACCACACACAATATCAGAAACAGTACGATTGTACACCAATTTAATGTGTCGAATCTACCCCAAAGGTAGTTTCTGTAGTATTTGTACATTTTTTCTACCATTATTCAAAAATTTTACGAGCTTATAAAAAATACAATACAAGATTAAAAATCGCTTAAAATTTTATTTTTTTTCTTATACGTGCAAAAGTGTTCGAATTAAGTTGTTTTTCATTTTAATTACACAGGACCGGCCCCAGGTCTCTTGTATCGCATATTCAGATTTGGCAAAACATGATCTTTGTCCCAGAATACAGAACGAGTACTAATTGGAGAATACATCCAGAAGTCTATTACACTTTTAGCGGATGAAACTATATATGTATAACATTTTTGACAAGGTATATAAAAATTCAAAGAATGTTTCCTTTGCTACCTGAATTACTAGGATTAACATGAAAAGAATTTTCGACCTTAATAATAATCAGTTTGGGTTTGGATCCTTCATTTTTGAAAAGTCAAGAATATCAAAGCGTGTCTAACATGTCAGACAATTACAATGGAGCGCAGACCATTATTAAATCAGTTAAGTTTAAATGCAGCTTCGAAGATTCGAGAAACTCGAAGTATATTTTCTACAATTTTGGACATTTGTTCATTCTTTAGAAAATTCAAGAAGGTCTGCTACTTTATGTAGAATATTACGAGAAGCAAATTAATCTTTCAAACGACTACATTCATATTGTGCAACACGATGGGTTGAGCCGCATGATTGCGTACAAATATTTAACGAATCTATGTAAGACGTAGAATTTTCATTTTGGTTGGTACCCAAAAGTACAGGTCAAGTATAATGAGTTCGATCTCCGAATGTTTGGACGAACTAATTGTAAAATATGACAATCAGATTTCTGGAAAATGAAAAAATAGTTAAAATTTTGTCAAGAATTATAAAATTTTAATGTAAAGATTTTAAAGAAATCATACAATTTTATGAAAAATATCTGAAAAT